AGGACGAATGAAAATAAGCTAATCTGGACAGCCGGGCCTCCATATCCGGAATAACGATTCATGAATCAACAATATGGCAAAATAGTATAGATGGCAAATAGTGCAAACCTCGCCAAGGAACTCTGAATAATACAACTTGAATATTTCATAAAATCCGAATTTTCCCAATCCCTGCAACGAGTAGCCAACAAAAGTCGGAGCCCATCCTTTTCCTAAACCTCGGAAACCTTCTTCTCTGATTGTGGTACCGAAACCACTTAAGATGCCACGATATTTCGCTGGATTGACCTGAAATCAACTCCGATCTTCACAGATTTCCAATATCACAATCGTTTTTTTTTTTTTTTCGGAATACTAAAAAACGAAATTGTCCAAATCATCTGCAAATTTCAGCACTTCAAATTCAAAATTTCAGTATAACCTGAATCCTGCACTTGACCAAATCCAAGGGAACAATCGCAGTGTGCGTAGTGCCACATGAGAGAATTCCACCAAGTCCACAAAGCGCAAAGAATTCCGCAGATCCATATGGAACTTCACCTGGTGCAGCTAAAAGCAAGGCATTTCCTATTTGCTCTAGGGCTGTATCATGCGTAAACTTCTTTCCTCTCTCACCACGGTGTAAATCACTGCATTATTTCAACACTTAACATGGCTTTTTCTAAACATGGCTTTCCAAGCAATTGTACGTAGCCACGAGAGACAGTCTTCCGAATAATAAATTGCGGCCATAATCTTAAAACAAACAGACGGCCCAAAGAAACTAAAACGAGGAACGGACGAAGCCAGAAAGTTAAAACGAAGGGTGGGATAAGTTTGATAAAATAATTTGCGGCCGTTTGCAGGCCGGACCGTAATCTTTGAAACAAGTGAGTGGTCCGGAGTATGGAAAATGTGGAACGGCCACAGTCAACCCGGGGTGGGGCTAAATACTTGTTTCAGCATCAAGTTCGGTGCCTGGCTTCCGATGTTCGTGGTGTACGCAGCATGTGCTATGTTCCCTTTTCAATCCACTCCATTGTAGCCGTTACCAGCACATCCATTACATATGGGCGCC